ATTCCTCAAATTTGCTTTATCTAATTGTATTATCTAATCTCAGTTACGCTGAACTTGACATACTAAAATTTCTTTATCTACACAAATCTGGAATGTTTTTCTCACAAATACTGGTGAGTGATTTTTTTTTTCAGGATGTTTAAATAATGCACAGTCTAGCCCATTGCATAGATTTCTTATTTTGGACATAATGAGTGAGGATATGATATGATATTGTGAATAACTTTGTCTATTACATGTGTTAAAAAATCAAACCAAACAACACGAAAAACCCCTGAAAACCCCTGAAAAACTGCTTTGGTAGATATTTATCTGACCTGTCCAAACACAAACTTTTCTTGAGATGGGGTGACAAGTGAGAAATGAAGAGTAGAGGACAAAGTGCTGGGTGGAAGAAATGGCCTTGTATTTTAGAAACAGCAGTAGTCCTGTAAAATGCCCAAGCTGGATTTTACTAAGGACTAAAGTCTGTTAAATCTGTTCACCATCACTGGCAGTTAAATAGATGAAAATGGTGATCAGAAACAGATTTTTTTTCTGCTTATTGAAACTGAGTAGGTGATAGCAAAAGCTTTTGGCAAGGTATAGAACAGAAAACAGGGAATTCCTGTCCTGATTCATAAGGTGTTGCTGTGAGCCTCTTTCTCATTTTTTTTTAATTTCAGGTGAAGAGGTGAACACATTTTTATTCTTTATTCCTGTGTGAAAGACTATATTAAAAGCACACTAAAAACAAACTAGCAGTTAGTTTACTCTTTATTTTTTCCTGATCCAGGTTGTCACAGGAAATATTCAGTGAGTGGCCCTTGACAAAGGAGTTGATAGAAGTAATTTGGCACTCAGAATTGGTTACAATCTGTGCTAAAACTAAATTGAAACACAAATAAGGACATTTTTATATTTATGTTCCTACTAGTTTTCCTATTTTGAGAAACATCTCATAAATGACCCTTACTGACTTTGATGGTATTTTACTGAGCAGTTTTATCAGTTTCAATTCTACTTTTGTTGGATATCTTTTGTCAGTAGTTTAATGGCTATTGCCTTTCTGCTTTTAAAAGGGACTCTGTGTTTTTAGGGAGCTGAAGAGTTCTGAAATTCATAAAAATGGAGCCAAATCAAGGAGTTGTATATAAGGCTTGAGTTTGTATTTTGCTTTTCATCTAAAAGTCTAAATTTGTTAGTTACCATCTCTAGTGGTTAGTCAGGACCCCAGGAAGCATTTTGTAATTCATGTCTCTGAAATATTGCATTACTAGACTAATTTTTGGCATTGATTTGCTATTCTAGAAAATTGTCTGAAAACCCTTCATCTTAAGAAATTTTAGTAGCAAATTGTGCTTTAGTAGTGCCCAGTATCTGTTTCATGTAATGACTCTTTGCTCATCTGTTTCTAGTACTTCGCACGTCATTTGTTCAGTAAATTTCATCAGAATATCTGGAATTCCTTGGATTTTGACATAAAAATATTCAGAGTCATTTTCGCAGTACCCTTAAGCCAGCAAGACTCACTTCAATGCCTAGCTTTGTACACTGAATGAAATTCTTCTCAAGATGAGAAAACCAAGTAATTTCCACTTTAATTTAAAAGAAAAAGTTGAATTTAAAGGTGTTTATGCATCCCTGATCCTGTAGAAAGTGGTACTTTTGTAAATGAAGGTACCAGTGCATTTGTATCTGTTACAGATGGTCTGATCTCTACTACAGAACCAGAGATATCAAATTCTCTTGGAGGATTTTCAACTCTTAATTTAATTTAAGTGCAATTGTTTTTCATTTGCTGTACTGGAAACTAAGAGATCTGAACTATAGTCTTGCATCTGCCTCAGCAGCATATTGACATAGTACATACTGACCTACAATTTCTTTGCACCAACTTGTAGTCACACCCCCAAGTTTCTTCTCTCAGTTTCTAGAATAGATCTCATTCCTAGGCTACTACTAATAAAACTTGTTCTGTATCTTCCCCTACTGGGGAAACTTGTGTGTGTCATGCAAAAATTAAAATTAATTCTCAGAGTAACACTTTACCTCACTGTCTTGTGTTAAAAAATTGACCAATTCAGGAGTATATGGTGAGGTGGCTGAGTTTAGCTGAGCTTCAGGAATTCCAAGTAGTCACTCTGTCTTTTTAATATAATTTTAGTCCTTTGTATTGGAAGGATTTTTCAGTCACATCTTCTTAGCTTCCTTTTTCCTAACCCAATCTATAAATACTTGGCTGTTGATCAAAGTCCAAGAAGTCTGTTGTTCCATGTGAGCACAAGTACATTTCTGGTGCAGGTCTGCTGAAGAAATCCTCTCATGAATGTCCATGAATGATTGTCCAATTATGACTTCTGGTCACAGTTGCTGAAGGGAATGTGTTGCATCCTTTTGTCCTTGATCAATGGTTTTTGTCTCTCTTTTTTTTTTTTTTTTTTTTTTTTAGCACTGAAATCCTTAATACTAAGATTATGTTTTTAGTTGCTAAAACCATTTCCTTTGCTTCATTTATTTCAGTTGATGTAGTTCCCTAAAAGCTGAGCTTCTCTGTTGTTCTTAAAACTGCTTTGAAGATAAAATTGATCTTCTTAGAATTATTGAAAATTAAAAAAAAAAATCTCGATTTTCAATTTAATTTTTGAGCTTTTGATTGGAAATGGGTCTGATTTGGTCTGTGGTTTGGCAAAGTAACAGTTCTTTGGCTATATGCTTCCATTTTGTTACCATGGTAAATTCTGATCTCTGCGTTGTGGTTCCTGATCAGGTCTGAACATGCTTGGAAAGTCCCAAAGGAGAAAAAAAAAAAAACCCTCCCAAGTTCCATAAACCCCAACAGAATCATTGCACAATCATTCTTGCTTGCATATTCTTTTAAAACAAGTATATCTGCATCTAAAGAAGAGAGCTGTAATTGCAGGAGTATTGATTCTCTAACGTGGTCCACAGGTGAACTCACAAGAAGTAGCAGCACAGCAGGATCTCAGCAATCAAAAATGCAAAGTGTTTTAAAGACTTGGCAGTGACCAAAGGTGTTTATTAAATGGAAGTAAACACTTTTGACATGAGTCACAAAGGACAAATCGTCCTGTAATGGGTCAAAATTTTCTTCATCTTCTGTGGATGAGAACTGGTGTCATGTGAATTGCTGTCATCTACAGTAGAGTGGTAAATTCGGGCATAAGTAACTGAATTGCCTTGCAGGTTTGTCTTGTCACCTCAGTGCTTCTGGTTGCCATCCTTCCCCTTTGTCAGGGATTTAAGCCTCAAGCAGAATAATTGAAAATGCAACTGGACAAAGCCTTGAGCTGAATTCAGTGTTGGCCTTGCTCAGCTTGGAGGGGATGGATCTGATGAGCCTTAGAGGTGGGACCTGTGGAACTAAATTCTGTTTCCAGGAAGTACAGAGGAGCAGTAACTGAGGTGCAAGGCTGTTGATACTTTTATCTACAGTGAGAAACAATTAGATGATTGTCAGACTTGTGATAGAGATGTGATTTTAGTGCTTCCAAGCTGGAAAGACAAAGGAAAAAATTATGTCTTCTGTAACCTGCATCACACAAGGTGGATCCAGATTAAGTAGTTGCTCTTTATTGGGTCTGTTTTCATTACTCATTCTTGTAAATCAATGTACTTCTGGTTGGTTTTGCCTTATATCCTGAATGTCTCAAACACAGCAGGACCAGCTGGTCAGAAGAGCTGATTGTCCTGCTGTGTCCAGTGATGGTGTGGCCTCATCTGGAGCACTGTGGGCAGTTCTGGGCCCTGCAATTTAAGAAGGATGAGAAGGTCCCTGAGTGTGTCCAGAGGCACCAAAGCTGGTGGCAGGGCTGGAAGGAATGCCCTGAGAGGAGCTGCTGAGGTGTGGGGGTGAATGCTGGGCTCTGCACCACTTATTAGTGGTTTATCTCATCCCTCTGAGCCAGGATTATTAGTAAGGTAATTGAGATGGTTTTTCATGTTCGGACTTGGATGTTTATTATATCTTATAAAAAAATTACAGAAAGTATAACAGCACCTCTAGCTCCTTGCTAGATAAGTAGGAAAAAATGGCTGTAGTTGAGCCTGCTTCAAGGCCTTTTAAAGCTAAACAGAGCTATAAAAGTTTTACACCTACATTATTTATCCTTTTGACCCAATAATAGATTCCCATGACCCTTAGAATGACTTTTGACTGACCAATCCAAAGGTAACTACCTAAGCTCCATGAAGAAGGCAAAAGAAGAAGATGAACAAAGAGAAGACACTGCCCAAAATTCTCCATCTTCTCCCATAACCACCACTATACTGTAAAACCTCGAATTTAAAACCCATCACCCAGTGAAAATATATCTAACCCACTATACATTTGTGATTTCTAACTCATTATTTGTATTTACAAGCCTTCTCCAAGGTTTCAGATCCAGAGCAATATTTTCCAGGGCATCTGTGCCTAGAAGCCCAGAAAGCTCAAAAACTCCAGATTCCTGAGATCCAGCACTGAGGATTTTAGGCTTGTCTGCTTTGAGGAGAAGGAGGCTGAGGGGTGACCTCGTCACTCTATGGCTTCCTGAGGAGGGGAAGTGGAAAATAAGGTGCTGAGCTCTTCTCATGTGGGAATGGTCCTAAGCCACACTGCAGGGGGTTTGCATGGGACATTGGGAAGCATTTCTTTGCCAAAAGGGTGGTCAAACACTGGAACAGGCTTCCTAGATGGATGGTTGATGCCCCAGCCTTGTCAGTGTCTTAGAGGCACTTGGGCAGTGCCCGAGGCCTTACAATGCTCAGCCCTAAACTGGTCAGGCAGTCGGGCTGGATGCTTATTGTGGATTCATTTCAATTTCAATTTAAATAGTCTATTCATATTCCACTCTATTTTATTATATTTTATTATATTTTGACATGGAGTTTAAGAGAAGTAAAAAATCATCTATCCAATAGATATTAAAGCTGTTTGTTACTTCTGGTATTTTCTAATTGTCAAGGGCTTTCTTTCTTAAGTTACCTCTAGTACTGGAAGCAAACCATCAGAAGGAAAAATGGATGCTTCGTTTTGGTCATCAGAAACTAACAGTTTTCGACGATTCACCCCTGAGTCCTTGGCAGCAATCGAGGAAAGGATTGCCAACAAAAAAAAGGAGAAAGTTGAACTTAAAGGGAAGAAAAAGGACCAAGGAGCTGAAAAAAAACTTACTCCTCAGCTTGACTTGAAAACCTGCAAAAAGTTGCCATCTCTGTATGGGGACATTCCTGCAGAGCTAGTTGGGGAACCCCTGGAGGATTTTGATCCATACTACAGTGATCACAAGGTTAAAACTTCCCAAAGCATTTTCTTAAATTTATTTTTGCCTGTTGAACTCTTAAGGGATAGTAAAAGCTCTATCCAGGAGGTGCTGGGGTTTGATTGTTCTGTAGACAGATTTTTGAACATTATTGACAACTTTTGGGTGGGAATTCTGAGGCATGCTCTGCATTATGGAATGAAGAGGTATTTTAAGTTCCAGTTAAGAATCAAAATTAATTATGAAAACATGTGATTGGTGCACTTTAATAATAAATATATTCTGGGATTAGTGATGCTTTGTTTTCCAGAGTAGTTTCTCTGATGCCTGTGGGGCTGAACTGCCTGTTGTATAAACAGTGCCTGTCCAACAGTTGGTCATGCTGGAATTGCAGATGCTTTCACAGAATTACAAATACAGGCACATTTGAGATACTTTCGCTACTCTGTGTAGCAAACCCATGTTTTTTCATTGTCTTAAATTAATTTTATGTAACTTTATGACTCACTGCACATACTCCATGCTATTCCAAAGTGGTTGGTGATGCTGACTGTAGCAGTACATAAAGTAGATAGTCTAGGAATCCCTTCTAAATTAAATTCTTAAATTAAATTATTATACTGTCAAGGAAGACTTGATCTGAAGAGCAGAAGGTTCCATCCAGTCCTAGTTGGTGTTTTAATGTATGCCAGCAAGATATTGGAATGTAATAATTTTTTCACAGAACATGCTTTAGACTTTGCTCTTCCAGATACTTTTTTTCTCAAAGTAGTCGAAGTGATATTATTGATGAAGAGGAACTAAGGTTGATTGAGTAGAAGAAATTTATATTAAAGTTAGAAAACTGTGTTATTAATTCAAGAGATTTCATTTTTACTATATGGCAAAAGTGCTGAGCTTCATGGACCTTAAGGTAACTTAGAGGGAATTTACAGTGTTACATGACAATATAGAGATATTTCAAAATTAAAACTTTTGCTTTGTCCAAGATTTTGGCAGTGCTACACAATGTGTATCTTGTGTATCTAAATAATCTCTTATAACCTCTAAAACTGTCCAAGAGTAAGGTATTAAGACCATTGTTACAGTCCCAGAGTAGTAATTTACTTATTTTGACCAAGTGAATATGATTACTTACTCTTCATATTCATTCCCATTATGGCTTCTCCCTCTCAGGCAATAATGAGCTTCTATAGGGCTGCTCTCTTTCCTTCAACATGTGTATAATCAGGTCACAGCCCCAAGTAAGAATAAAGGAAAGCTGTACTCCTAACTGCAGTTAGATATAGCTCCAGATGCACACTTGAAAAATTGAACATGCAATTTTTGGAGAAATTTCTAATTAATTTAAATGTTTCATATGCAATTAATCCCTTTTTTTTTTTTTTTTAATAGACTTTTATGGTGCTAAATAAAAGGAGGACTATTTTCCGGTTTGCTGCCACACCTGCCTTGTTTATATTTGGTCCTTTTAATCCAGTCAGAAAAGCAGCAATTCAAATTCTAATCCATTCATATCCTTTCATTGGTTTCCCTGATTTGAATCTTAAAATATTCTGTGTCATTCTCTGTCATTCTGTTCCTCTGTTTCTGCTTTTTCTGCTTTTATTTGGAATTATCAATTAGTGGAAATAGCTCTTTTTAGGTAAACATGTCTGAACATGTCAAACATGTTATGTCCCACTAGTTTCCTAACTTCCAAAACCCTCTCCACATGCAGATAATTCATTTTTATATTTAAAACAAGAATTTTACCCAGCTGAGAAGGTTTGATCTTGGTCCTGTGCAAGGATGGGAACTGGATTTCAGTGATCTTTGTGGGTCCCTTCCAGCCCGGGATAATTTGTGATTCTGTTATAAGTTACTTAGGAAGACCCATGAAAGCTTCTGGGCATATTCAAACGAAAAGGAATTATTTGAATGTTTGTGTGGTTTTTGTGTGTGGAAATCAGTGACTTGTATGAACTTCCTTTTCATAACAGAGTGTTTTTTTCCTTAACTTACTATTCACGTTGTTTCTTGCCATTATTACGTGCACTGTGTTACTCAATTGTATGGCTATGACAATCCCTCACCTCCTTGTGGAAGCCTACTGGACTGAGTGAGTACCTCCGTGGCCATGTGCTCACTATTTTATGCACGACTGAAAACTTTAAATAACGTGGTGATCTAATTCTGGGGATTGAAAATTCTCGACTAGACCTCTGAGGAAGGCTGAGGATTGTTATTATATCACACAGTCTTTTGTGAAGCTTCAGTGCCTTTTCTTAGAAGCTCTCACCATATGGCCTTTTTTTTGTTTTGCCTAATTTTGCCATCTGGTGTAACATAGGAGGTTGGCCCATTTTTCCTTTTTGAGGATTAAATCTTTTCAAGAGACTGCAGTGGGATTTTAATTTAATATCTCTCATTCTACAGCAATAACCTGGATGTCTGTTACAGTTGCCTCATGTAAAAGCTATAAAGGAATAAATATTCATTCTGTTATTTCCTCTGTTTACTGGTGACTCTCCTAAGTCAGTTGTTCCCACTAGGAAGTAATTTACTTGTAATGTCTTGCTTCCTTGTACTTGTGCACTGTATTCAGTGTAACTGGAGTTAATGTTCCAGAATTAAATCTGGAAAATGTGCCTGGAGCCTCAGAAGTTCTGTATTTTTAATTCCTATTATTTTGGTGTAAGCGTGGTGATAACTTCATTTTCTGTAGGATTTCTTTCAGTTATAGTGTATTTGTCAGAATAAATATATAAAATGTGCAAAATTTACAGGCTCAAATACATCTTTGTTGTTATTGTTCTGCCAGAATGGTAAGGCTTTGAAATTTTCCAGCCTGCTTTAGAATATAAACACAGTCTTAAAAATGTTTCCTAAGAATATGTAATCTATCCTTCAGCCAGAAATAGAATTTTATGCTTATGTGAATGTTTGTGTTTGTAGATTTACATGGAAAATTTACTAAAATTCAGGAAGACATCTTGTCCCCATGATGCTTCTGAAAGTAATGCAACCTGTCCTATTTTGCTTAACATTTTCTACATTTGTCTCCATGCAGGAACTAAATCAGAGAAAAGATAGAAATGTGCCTGAATGTGTATCAGTCTCATTAATATTTTTATTTCTATAACTTTAATATACATTTTCCTCCTCAGACATGTTTTCACTGCCATATATACTATTGAAATATTGATTAAAATAGTAGCAAGAGGATTTGTTTGGAATGAATTTACTTTTCTTCGAGATCCATGGAACTGCTTGGATTTTTGTATTATTATAGTAATGTAAGTAAAACTCAGTTATTTTTTTCCACTCAGGGGACAAAAAAACACAGAGAAAATACCATTTGGTGTTGCTGAAATTCCTTTCAGTTGTTGGCATCCTCCCTGCTAAACTCTGCTTGGTCATAGTTTGCATGTCTGCAAAGAGAAAAACAAGCTTTAAAGTAAGACCTAAATTAAAAGCTCATCTTAGAACTGTGTGATTGTTCTTAATTTAGTCTATATTTGAGTTTTGACAAGAGGTGATTGCGCCAAATGAAGTTGTCAGGTGGCAGAATAAAAAAGAAGGGAGTAGGTTGTAACACTGCATGTAGGTTTTTCCTCATTTGTAAATAATAGGTATATGTTCACAGGTCTCATCACACACATCTCATGTATATGAATTATTCTTATGGGTAATAATGAACTGCTAAGGAGATTAAATATTATTAATCATCAGCATCTATCACTAAATAGCTACTGCTAATTACAACTATCACAAGACAATCCAATAGCTGTATGAAAGATTTAATTTATGGTCTTTTTTCCCTACCTGCACCCCTAATTAATTAGTGTTCAGCTTTACAATATGGTACCTCCACCTGTTTTTTCCATGTCTTATAGTACAGCAAAGAAAACTATTTGGAAATTAGCTCAGCTGCTAACTCAAGTGTAATTATTGCTTAAGGTACTTGATAATCATTCAATCCTACAAAGTAGGCAAAGCCAATGTGCTCTGATCTGCTGCTGACAAAGTCATGCTTTGAGGGGGAGGTTGCCTTTCCAGCCGTTGTTGTCTTTGACTTTGTTATTGAGATTTTATTTTTTAAGGAATTCTGTTATAAGCTACAACCATTTCATGAGATGAGTCACAATTCACGTCCTTTCTGACATGAAAGAAGTCTTAGAAAATTTGGGGTAGCCTGTTAAACTGCTGTTAGAATATGCAATGCTTTAAAATGCTTTGGATTTGATGACATTTTCTAATTGTTGAAATGTTAAAATTGAAACGAGTTGCAATCCTCAAGTTTTCACTGACTGTTAAAGATTAGAAAGGCACATGTGGTACAGAATAAACACATTATAAATCTACTGTTGCTCAACTTCCTTCTCCTGAAGAGTGAATTTTGTTTTGAGATAGCTGCAACATGTACTTTCATGAGAGAAGCCTCAGTGTAAGAGTGTGGTTATGACACTGACAGTTTTATATTTATTTGACATTTTAATGGATAAACTCTTCCAAAGTTAAAGCATACAAATCCACACTAAGTAGGAGCTTACTGTATTTCTTTTCAGAGGCATTGCTCCAAAGCCCCATTACTTTATATCCACGCCTAGAAATGGACTTAATTCTTAATTTTAGGCATATATCTTATCCAGCTCCATAAGCAAATGGTTTGCAAAGCTCCATCCTTGTCATTCATTTGAGTGTGGGTTAATTTTACAGGTATGTTACTGCATTTCAGAGTGTGGGCAATGTTTCAGTTCTTCGAACTTTCAGAGTACTGAGGACTTTGAAAGCAATTTCAGTAATACCAGGTAAGGAACAACACATCTTACTGATTTTCTCTCTGCTTCACCAGAATGCAAATTCTAATTCCACTCCTGTTCTTGCCTTCTAGTTTTCTGGTCACTTTTTGTGACTCCCCCCCAAGAAATCCCAAGGTGTGACTGTTTTGCACCCTCAGTAGCACTCTAACACAATTTTTAAAATCATCTTTCCTTCAAATTGTTTGGAAAAAAGGAAATTTATAGTCTACATTTTTTTTAACCCATCAATGATGTGCATTTTTATTTAGCCCAGTGTCTTTGTTTCTTTAATTTGTCTCCCTGGAGCAGCCCACTGTATGTAATATGTTCTCTTAACATAATATATCTGAACCACCATATTTCTGATTTCATGTTCTACCTCTCTGGTTTATTTCCCAGAATGCTGATTTCACAATCTGAGAGACTTTGATTTGTTTCCTTACTGACCACAGCCACTCTCTGGATTGTGTGCAATACTTTCAATAGTATGTTGCATATGCCATCCAGATATTCAATACTTTTGTGTCATATCCTTAATTAGGGTACCAAAGAACGATTTCAGACTCCAATTGCAAAAATTCACTTGAAAATCTATAAATTGCTATATCTCTCACCATCATAATATATATTAACTTTACAATTTCCATGTAATTGCAAATATATTTTTGATTTTGCTATGAAATTACAGCAGGAATGAAACACTGAAGGTGTTTAATTTTGGTGTCAAAGCCACACATCAATAGTTTTCCTTTGTCTTTAACAAACTTGCAGCTGTCGTGTCTTGTCATACAGGAATATCTTTGCATTCCTTTTCTTACTTTCTGTGTTATTGGATCTTATTTTCCTAGGTCTGAAAATAATTGTGAATTCACTTGTCGAATCTGTTAAGAAGCTTGTGGATGTGTTGATCCTGACTGTATTTTGCTTGAGTGTATTTGCACTAATAGGCCTCCAGCTTTTCATGGGCAATCTAAAATCCAAATGTGTCCTCAATAACACTCAGTTCAATGACTCCTTATGTAAGGATCCCAAGATATATGTACCAAGTGATGAAGGTAAATGTGTTTCATTTCTCCCTTTACATAATCTGTGTATCTTCCTGTGTATGTATTCATTTTTCACAGAGATGTTAAAATATAGTTGCATGTATTTCTGCCAAGAATGTTTGTCCTTCCATTTGCACAAGTAGTAGTATGAAGTATCTGGGACAACTGAAAATGAGATTAGTGAATCTTGGATTTGGAGAAAGATCAGCAGTCTGTGGGATAGAAGTGACTGAGTTTTCTATAAGCATTTTCTTCTTTGTCTGTGCATTGCACAGGGATCCTGATTTTAGGGATACTGTGCAGAGAATGATTTTTTCCATCATTTACTCTGTATTTCATGGATTTTGTCTACTTCTCAAAGAGATTCTTATTTTTACCAAAGAAAAAATAAAATCTTACATTGTTCTGCAGCAAATTGTTACTATTTATTTTAAATTGTCAGAGAGACAGGTCTGCTAAGAATCAGTTCTGTATGGCCTTTGGCATTGGATCTTGGGATCTTTGATCTTTGGGAAAGGATCTTTCACAGAGGTTTGATCCATCAGAGTGCTTATAAAGTGCAGTAATGTTTGGTTTACTGTCAGAAAGCTGTAGAAACTGAAAAATTCTGATTTTATGATTCCTTGATTTTTTTTTCATTAGAGCTCTGCTACAGATTGGAAGACTCTTCTGAAATATTGCTCTGTGGGTACAGTGGAGAACTGAAGTAAGTGAACAAAGCAGTTTTAGTAATTTCTTATTTTTTTCCTTCAGATGAACTGTGGTTTTATTTTTGGTCTAAAGGAATGGTGATAATTTTTCAGGAGGAGGAAATGAATCAATGGGTGTGTTATTGAATTAAAAAACAGATATTTCATACCAGAAAAAGATTGAAGGACAAGGATGCAGCCAATTTTATATGTATTTTATTGCTAACCACTGGGAGTATAATGGTAAGGTAAAATGATATAAATGAGAAGGGGAACAGATTACTAAAGACTTTTTAGATATCAATAAATTCTCCTCTCCTCATCTTCGTGAATTATTTAAATGTAAAGGAATTCCCATTTTTCCCCTCTCTGTATATTTGTTTGGATATATTCTACATCACTGAGAGTTTTTGTATAGTCCCAAACTAAGGTGTCTGTCTAGTTTTCTTTACTAGCAAATGGATCTCTGGGATGCTCAGATATGAATCAGCCCTTCTGGCAGGAATATTTTGGGGAATAATGAAACCTCATTTCAGAGAAACTGAACAAATCTTTATTTGTCACTATGTATTGGATGCTTTCAGGTTCAGTTGAATCTCCACATAAGTGTTGTTTAACATTTCTTTTGTGGTTAGTACAGAGTGTCCAGAAAACTACACCTGTGAGAAGATTGGGAGCAATCCTGACTTTGGCTACACAAGTTTTGACCATTTTGGCTGGGCCTTCCTCTCTGTGTTCCGTCTGATGACCCAGGACTACTGGGAGCGTCTCTACAGACAAGTGGGTGCTTTTTGACCTGCTGGAATGACTTTAGATATGTCCACTACAAAAGTCTATATTGGTTTTAACATTACTGGCACTATTTTTTTTTTTAAATCATTGTTAAATATTAAGGGAGTAGAGTCAAGTGGCTGAACTGTCACCTTTTGCAAGTGACACTGGATGGGAGCAATCCCTGCTGTGAATGTTCATAGTTTTGTTGGAGAACAGGCTCAGGTCAGTGGGTAAAAGCTAAATAAGAGTTAAATATTTATGTGTAAGCACCCAAGGATTGGGATATGGAGCAAATCCAGCCAGGGAGCTCCCTGCTACTGCAGGGAATGTGAGGATTTGTCAATTCTCTGTCTTCCTTTTAATGTTGACTCCTCACCAAACCTTTTGGCTCAACATGCACACTTTTATTTGGGACTACATGGTTCGAAAAAAATTTGAGCCCTTATGTTTTGATTCTGAGAGTTGAATGTGACTTCTTAATTCTGTGGGTTTTTGGAAAAAATTATATAAAAATAACTGTAGAGAACTGCGTGTATCCCTTACATCTATACAGTGCCTTTGCCAGAGAGGAACAATAATCTCTACCTTTCTGTACCTTTCATATTGGTCCATTTTAATTCTTTTCCCCATCAGCCTTTATTAACTGAGACTTTTTTAAATGGATGCAACATCTTTTGCCATTTGAAGGCCATGTGATTTTTAGTTTTTAATGTCTCAGAGCTTAATTTTGAACCATCTCCTCTGCTACCATCTAAGAAAAATTAAGAATTAGATAACCAGTCGAAATATTGCCTCTGATTCTGTAATTAAAACATCCTTCATGACTGTATAGATAATCCTAGCTTTCATCTTTATTACTGAGTTTCATCAATTTCTTCCACAATCACCTGTTTAAGTCTTTACAGATGAAGTTGTCTTCTCATAACTTAAACTCTGATGATCATTTGCCTAATTTGCTGAAAGATATTCCATTTGATTTTAAGAATGGGATTTTAAAATTCTTTTCTACAGTACGTGACATTTTTATGTATAACTTAGACCAGAAACAGATCCTACTGTTGTTCACTGAAAACACTGCAGTACATTAACCTTTTGTATTGCACAGAAAAATAAATTGTTTAGAGTTATTTTGAAATTGCTTTGTAAATGTTAGTTTGTTAAGAATTTATGACCACCTTTACTTTTTCCTCACAGACTATCCGTACATCTGGAGTGTCCTCTGTCTTTTTTTTTATGGCAGTCATCTTCTTCTGCTCATTTTATCTCTTCAATCTGATCTTGGCTGTGGTAACTATGGCATATGAAGAGGAAAACAGAGCTACTCGTGCTGAAACAGAGGCAAAGGAAAAACTGCTTCAGGATGCCAAACAAATTATAGAGAAGGAGCAGGTTTGTGAATTATCATGTATAATCTGTAGTTCCTTTTGTTTTCTTCTGTTTGTGATTTATGGAAATAATGTTTTGAATTAAACATGGGCCTCTTGCAATACTTTCTGACTCTTGATTTCTCTTTGTCTTTACAAATGCATATATGTATGTATATGTATGTTTAAATGCATAAACATTCTTGTGATACAAAAAACCATCATGAATCCAAGTTAAAACATGCTAAGTTTTAAGACTTGCAGACCTGACATTATATAGGAATGGCTTTTTGATAAGAAAGTAACTTTCATGGTATCGATGAGTACTGAACTCCATAGTTTGTCCTGTTCTTGTACAGTACCATTATTCCTGTGTCCAAAAATTTCTTTGTCTGGGTATCCCTTCCTGATCTTACTGCAGGAAGGAAGCATGAGTGGAAACATTTTATCTTCTACTTTAAATAAAAGATATCACTGATTTACTGCTAGCAGTCAGAAAAGTCAGACTTGTAAGAGGACAAACAAATATTCTCTAGCAACTATCAAATTTCATAATTAAAGTGTAAGGCATCACCATTTTACCAAGTTCCTCCTCTACAGTTGTTGACAGCTCTGTAATGCCCGACAATCCACCTTGCCAGGCTTTGCTTACACTTTTCTTCCTTCTGTTTTTCTTTTTTCTTTCTTCTATTTTTCTTTCAACAGGATTAAGATTTAGGAAAATTTAACATTTTAGGATTTAGTTTGAGCCCTTAGTCTTCTGCTGTCTTGGATTCAAGGTCCTTTTCAAAGCAAGAAAAGGAAAGTAAAAGGATAAGCCATAATACTTTGTAAATCAGATACAAAGTACAATATTTAAAGTGACAAGGGCTGACTTTAGTTACAGTAGCTCACAGGTAACCCTACTTTGTCTTTCAGAATTGTGAATAACATTTTGTACTTCTGTTTTTTTATGGCAGTTTAACATTTGGAACCTAGGAATTGTCAGTGCAAATAATTCAGATAGCATAATAATTACATGTATATGGTCCTAGTCCAGGCACTGGTGTTTGCCTTGAATTAACAGACAGATGTTTTACTTTTCCTGTTACAGATGTTGGCTATGGAAGAAGGCAGTAAGGCCTTGCATGCTGGATCTGAAATATCAATTGCTGACTTGAGAAATTCAAAAGGAAAAGAGAGTAATAAGGAAACACCTACTTCAAGGCAAAACTTAATTTTAGATGACCAGGAAAATGAGGAGCAAATATTTCGTTCACAGCCTGATCGCTGCCACAAGAAGCTTGTAAGTATTTGGAATAGAAACTCCATTCATTAGGTTTGCATGTGATATGACAAATCAAGGATGAGGTTTTGAGACCAGAGGGAGCCAGCACTACCTGCACCTGAAAGGGAAGCCAGAAGTGGCTGTCAGTGGTACACTTATGGCACATCACTCACCTGTGCTCTGAGATTTCTGTTTGTGCTGCAGAAATAAATGCATAAAATTCTAAAGTTTTAGAGTTTCCCTAAAGACCTAACTATTTTGGTTTTTTTAAATTAATATTCTTTTCTACAGACAGCTAATTCTCTGACCTAAATATTTAGGATAGGGTTTAGTTCAGTATGAAGATTTCTGATCTTAGGGGTGTGATTCACTTCCTCACTTTAAGGATCTGGTACCAGTTCTTGCATATGTTGGATGTTCCAGGTATCTTTGTTATCTGTGGCATATCTTCCAGAACTTTGTGGATATCTCATAAACATTACACAATCTCAAATGTTGCTAAATTCCTAGATTTATGCAACTGGATTGTTTCCAGGGTTTGAATTTTTTGAGGTTTTTAGGTTTGTACATGTGTTTTAGGTTCTAAACTCCCAGAGTGGAGATTTAATTTTTTAGATCACAAATTGATACCTAGTGGCATTAGAGCTTTTCTGGTGTCTTACTTGGCTTTCACCTCCTCTATGGATGGACACAGATGTTATGTGCCATGTCTCACCTACCAAGTGTCTCAATTGACCATCTCAAATGGCTTCACAAACATTTATTTATGGCAACCAAACTTATTAGAAACATACGTGTGCCATATACTGGGATTTTAAATGCACTGCCCACATGGGTAAATTGAACATGGAGATTTAAATATGAGGCTGAATCTCACACATATTGTTTCACATCTTGTTTACAGCAGTGATTTCTTGCTTCTCTGCTGACCACTCATTTTTAAGTCCATTAAGAAACTTTTATTATGACTTTTTATTCTTCCTTTGCTTAATTTTGGAGA